GGGGTTTGTTGTTGTTGTTGTTGTTGTTTGGTGTCCTTCAGTGGCCAGTATTTCCTTACTGTTTCCTGACTATCTAGAGATGTTCTTCTTGAAGCTGCGCACAGTTTGCCTTCATACAGAGTAGGTACCCCCAAATCTCATCCATGCTTAAGGCTATGTTCCCTTCTGATAGATATTTTTTAAAGTTTACCAGCAGAATTAGTTTTTAATGAGTTGTTAGTGGTTTGTAAACACAGAAGCATGCACACAAGTGTGCGCCCTAAATATACACATTGTCAAAATAAAGTAGCCAGTATTAAAAATACTAGATTGTACATGAATCAAACACTATGATATTGGGTTCTAGGACACCCCTCAAAATTTACCATTGTGCCAGTTCCTGTGAATGTCAAAAGCTCTGATGAAGGGGAAGGGTTGATAAATGAACACATAAAGAATGATTAGATGTTTATTCTGTTCTGACTTTTATTAACTCAATGAGTTGTTGAAATTGTTGTAATAGGGATGCCATATGTAACCAGGATATTATGTTTGTCTTTTCTATACTTGAGCTTTGCCAAAAGGCCACACATGGACGTTACTATTGACAGTAGCTTCTGAACGATTAGATAAGTGTGAGACAAATTATAAAGTATAAGTACTCATTACACAGTGTCAAGTGAACAAATTAGAAAAATATGAAGCCTCAAAAAATAACAGTATAGAGCAGAAATAGAAGAGTTGGGATTTGTTGAAACACATGCCTCAGGCTATGTCCACCACTGGTGATCTTCAGAGGCCCTGGGATACTTGGTGCTCTTCTTTGAAGGGGAGCTCCAGGGATGAACACTGCCACAAGAGGGCTAACCCTCTGTTATGTATTATATCCACTGATCATGGAAGGCCATCTGGGTATTGGAGGAGTTTAACCACCCAACTTTAAAAACTGGTGTTGAAGCAGAACGTACAGAAGGAGAGAGGCTTGTCCCCTGAATCTGGTGGCTGAGCCATATGGCGTTACATCTGACCCCAAAATGAATTCAGTACACTTCAGACCTGAGTTACAGCTGATGTGGGGAAATCTAAGAATGGGTTGTTCCCTTAACAGCTGTACTTACAGTGAAGGCCAGCAAGAAAGACAGTTTTATGCTTGCTTAAGCCTTCATGGATTACCTGAAATCTATAATTTCCCCCATGCCTTTGTCATAATCATTTAAATAATCATAGAAAATTATATTTTTCTCTTTTTCTGAGATACTCTCTACTGATCAATTACTCTAATATTTTAAGTTAATATTAGGAGCTAGATGGATAAAAAAAAAAAGCTGTGGTAAACTAAGAGAATACTCAACAATCTTTAAATATATTCTAATTCTGGAAATATAAAAATCAAAATCCCACTGGAGGGAAGCACTAAATTCTGCACCTGTAGTGACTCCTTAAATGTGGATGTCTATATTTACTCTGCAAATTTTAAGACAATAAATAATTTTCATGTGTATGAAATGAAGTGTAAGTCACTTTTAGCATAATAAATGAAAAAAGATTTTAAATGTTTAAAAACAACAAATATTCCTTTACTGATTTAGAGTAATTAAGGAACTAAGATGCAAAAGAATGTATTTTTTTCCTAAGTAACTCAACAACAAAACTATGAAACAAAAAGAAAATATGGGATAATATTCCTAGTTTTATTGCCTGTCCTCTGACACCCTCCCACATTACTTTGTTCATTGTGAGAGTACCCAACTGAGGCTATAATTAGGGGCAGAAATATAGTCTGAACCATGAATGAGCTATAGTAAGAAACTATATCAACTTGGAGGTGGTATGACTTTTTGAATTGCATAAAAATCTCCAAATTTGCTTGCTAAAATGGCATTACTGGAGCTGAGCCGCTGGGTTCAGCAAATGAAAGAAGTGTGTTACCCATGTCTTCAGGATATTTTTCTGTGGTATTACAGTAAAACAAGAGCTTATCTTGGTATAATCTTAAAGAGTCCAGGTTTAAATTGATGTACAATAAAAGCATTAATGAGCTGTGTATATTTTAAGTGAATGTGTAGTGATCTGGTCTGGTTTCACCATAGCAATTGCTCAGGTAGAGTGGATGGACCTTAGATAACTTAGAAAGTTTGAGATAGCTTCCCATATTTTCTTCTGTACATCAGCTACCTTCATCGCTTTCTCTTCTTCACCTAGTATCCCGTAACTGCTCAGATGCTATCTTAGGGTTTCTATTGTTATGGAGAGACACCATGACTATGGCAACTCGTACAAAGGAAACATTTAACTGGGACTCACAGTTTCAGAGGTTCAGTCCATTATCATCATGATGGAGAGCATGGTGACATGCAGGCAGATGTGCTGGAGTCCTACAACAGGAAGTCAACTAAAAATCACACTGAGAGAAGCTTGAGCAAAAGTGACCTGAAAGGCCACCTCCACAGTGACACACTTCCTCCAATACGGCCACACTTCCAAATAGTGCCACTCCCTTTGAGGGTCATTTTCTTTCAAACCACTAAAAATTTCAACTTCAAAATGTCCTTTTCTTAGAAACAGTTTTAAAAAGAAAAACACAAACCATCTGGCTTCTGATCACCAAAGGAAAGTTTTCAAGATGGAAATACCAGCCAAATTCACACTGAAATACAAATGGCTAGAGCAGTTACATGCCTCCTTCCTCAAGGTTGGCAAATAGAATGCTTAGATCTCAGTGGCTCCCAAGGAGTAAGGGATAGCATTGATTTTGTTTGGATGTCCAAAGTGATAGAGCTTCTTTAACCCTGAGATGACTATGTTGTTGGGTCAGAATTTTTCATGTGGTGCCAGTGTGGGAGAATACATGACTCTCTTATTCTATATTATCTGTGTTTGATGCTCTTTCTGCTGAGTTCCTCATTTTAAATTCCATTTCTCCATTCTTTAGGCTTATCTATATATTTTTGGCTCTAAATTTTAAATTTTGACCCTGAACTTTGTTTTGTTTTGTTTTGTTTTCATTTGTCTGGTTTTAGTTTTGCTAGTTTGTTTTGAGATAGTCTCATCATGTTACCTCAGCTGACCTGGAACCTTGCCGTTAGTCCACAAAGACCTTCAGTGAGGTTTATTATAATGTGAGGTCCCCAAGGCCACAAGTAGGCATGGAAATAGAAAGCCATTAGACAACAATACAATATATGGATATATGTAAACATGGCAGCACTTTAGAGGGAAGGAAAAGAAAGGAGGAGAGACTTTCCACTAAAATCTAGAGAAGAACTTCTTTGAGGTTGAGAATGAGAGAGAATAGAAAGAAAGAAACAGAGAGACCATGAGAAGGATTGTGGGGGAGAGGCCAGAGAAGCCACTTCAGAGACCAGCCTTAATCTCCAGATCAAAGCCCTCAAGAAGTCTGACGTTTTCAGCCTTTAAGGAGGTGTTAAGAAGTTTCACATCACATAATTTAGTTCAGCATAGCATACATGTTAGGAACCTTGGCAGAGGCAGGTACTAATTGGAACCAAAATTACAAAAATGAGAGGATGCGATTACACCACAGCATATACAACTTCTTAATTCTCCATCCCAGACAGTGCTGCAGGGGATATGGCTATGGAATCAAGCCTAAAAGCTCAATTCTGGGTTGTAACTATCTCAAACTTATCAGACAGCCCAGATCAAAGATATTTGTAAAGTAGGAGCAGCAAGATGACTCATTTAGTAAAGGCACATGCAGCCAAACCTGACAACCTGAGTTTGTTCAATCTCTGGGTTCCATGTAATAGAAAGAGAATTAACTCCTTCAAGTTGTCCTCTAATCTTCTCCCTCATGCTGTGGCCTGACCATATAATTTACTGATTAATTAAATATATTTGTCACAGGTTTTGTGGGGTGTTTTTGTTGTTGTTGTTATTTTTTGTTTGCTTGTTTATTTGAGGAGGGATTGTTTTGTACTGTGTTGTCTTGGCTGGTATTTTGTGAAGTTTTTGTATATTATTTCTCCCCAAAATGATTATGCCTAGAAATTGTATAGTGAGTAACAGACTGTTGGTGTTAACCAGTTTCTTTTTAAGTTGATGAAAGCGGCAGGCAAGCCTTCAGGTCACTGTAGTAATGGTATGAGAATGGTAGAGAAAATTGGTTTGAAAGTGGTATATTCTGGCCTGTTTTGGAGGGACTTTTGGCCTGGGTTTCTATCAGCTCTTAGAAATGAGGAACCCAGAGACGCACTGCAGCCATTATTTATTGCATGGCCTAGATTCAGTTCACATCTGTTAGGGTACATACCCCTTCATATTGGAAGTGTTTTTGTTTATTGAGGCAGGAATTCTCTAGGTAGCCCTGACTGTCCTGGAACTCTTCTTTGTTGACCAGGCTGACTCAAACTCAGAGATCTTTCTCCTGAGTGTTGCAATTAAAGGTATGCACCATCATGCCTGGTTCAAGTTAATGTTAAATTGGTTAAAATTAGCTAATCATTTTTTAGCATACAAGGATTGATGATTGGTACTATGCACAGAACTTGGCTTTATGCACTCTATGGCAAAGATAAGATAAGGCACTATCCCAGCTTTTCAGAACCTTCCTATCTATCCAGATTTCTAAATCTTTAAGCTTAGAAGGTGTTTTATAAATGTGGTGTTCAAGAGATACTCTAAGAAAATTATAGATAATATGTTTATGCAAATTTTACTATGGTTAAGTACTTTTCTTTATTGTCATCACTATGGTCCAAGTCGCATTAAAACCTTGCCCTCCTTCTTCTACCTCCTACTTACACTTCTAAATAGCTGTATCCCAAGTAGTTAGTAAAGGGGCTATGAATTGGTCTCCAATACAGGTAAAGCTAATAAATGTGATTTAGGATGAAAGGCACTGTGTAAATGCTTGAGATGTTGTTATTACTGCTCTCATGTGCTTCATTATTTTTAAATTGTGCATCCTTTTAAGTAGATTATTTGTTCACCACAGTCTCCATTATATCTAAGCAAAGCCTTCACAGAAATTTCTAAAACCTTTTCATTTCTCTCTGTAGGTTGTTGTTTCGTAACATTTTATACAAGAAAAGCTGCACTTGAGGCCCAGAATGCACTGCACAATATTAAAACTTTACCTGGGGTGAGTCGGTTTGCTTTTATACCAAAATCACTTTATTGCTTGAAAATGGTCCTTTCAACTAAAGGGTCTAGTTATGGGTCCTTAGTGCCAAAAATGGCTTTGGTCTTTTGAAGAATATGTTCCGACCCCTCTGTTCCCTGTGATCACCAGACTAGCCAGCCGTCCCACAAAGAAGGCTTGCATTAACACTGATGGGAAGAATTCTCAAATAGCATGTCTTCTGGTTTGGAAATCAGAGTGACCCCACTGGGTACAGCAGCTACCAAAAAGTATGGGTTGGTTTAAGATTTTAAAGGTGGTAGGAACCCCCACACACACACAAGGAAAACAAACGAAAATGGAAAAGCTTTTACTCTCCAGGATCCCCTTTTCAAAATCTAGTCTTTAGATTTTCATTCGAAGGGACAGAATATACTCTGTATAGACATAATATTAAAGCTCCTAATGACTTCTAAACAGTCAGTGGTGGTTAACAAGTCAATGTTTTAATGTCAAATGTGTGCCTTCATGTTGATGTAGACAGAGAATGGAAAGCTTCCAGTTCTTGTTTTTATTTCCTTCCTAGTAATAGCTGATAATTAGTACAGTGATTAGAAATGAACTGATGTTGCATATGACATCTTTGTCAAGATTATCAGATTTTTGTGGGACTTTTATACATTGCATGGTAGCACAAATTGTCCTTTACTGTTTATATAGTATTTCCTCCATTTACTGAAATGTCAGTTGTAAGTTAATTCAATATCATAATGATATGTATTTGTTCTAATAAAGGACCTGTCATAAGCTATCCAAGTACCATGATTTTATTGAAACATGTTTTAGTAAGAAGGAAAGGATAAAATGTTCCTGGTGTTTCAGGGTATAATTTTAGTGTCTGTTTACTTATCTGTCCCTGTACACATATGTAAACTATGTGCATCACATACTGATATGGGCACACGTGTGTATTTCTCCTCCTGTTCTGTTTCACCAAAAGATAGAATTTGTGTAATTCATGTTAAGCCCACTGAAAAACATATGTCCATAGTAGAAAGATGCTTAGCAAAAGATTTTCAAAATATGAGCTTCTTTTTGGGTAAATGAATTTTTGAGACAACTTTTCACTAAATATCCCACATTGACCTCTAACTTGTGGATGGATGCAGAGATTATAGGCAACTGTCACCACACCACACTCATTGATCACCAAGAGCATAAATTAGGGAACACAGCTATTCAGCCCTACATTTTTGGTTTCCCCTTTTTCATCTGAACAAATCATAGAAGAGCAAATGTGTGGTGACAAAACGATCCTTCTGTGGTGGAACTATTTTGTCCTAAAACTTCCAAAGTGATTTTTAGAGAGGTGGCTTTTGTTAAGTCTTCTTTCCTTACTGACTTAAAATGTAATAGTATTCAAGCCTCATTCTTATGTAAGTTAAAATTTTCCAATATAATTCTAAAAAGTTGTAGGCAAATATTTACTGTCTTAAAAAAACAGAAGAAAATTAACTTTCATGTGTCTAGGCTACTTTATTTTCCTTCTCATAAAAGTAAAAGCTTTACAACAATTAGCACACAAAATCCCTTCTTGATGCATTAAAAATTATTTTCAGTCATGAGCTACTATTTACCATATAAGGAATAGTATAGTTAGATACCACATAATTTGGTTTATGCCATCTTTCTCTGCAAAGTATTCTCCAGGAACCCAGGAACCCAGCTGACCAAAGATCATTATTTTAGTGCCCAATTTATGGCTTTGTATTGACAGAGAGCAGAAGATAACAAACTGACAGTATTTTTTCCTTTTCCATACATAATATTTGATGATTAGTACACTTTACTAGAAACCTGAGGTGAATATGAACAAGATATATTGAAATGCACAGAAGTACTGGCAACTATTATTTGGGGTAAAGAACAGAATTCTGTTTCTTACAAACAACCAGCCCTTCTGTATGTTCTTCAAATATTGCAGGTTTTTTTTCTTCTAAAATTCTGCAATTTGAATTCAAGAATAGAGACTTTGGAAACCTGTAATTAAGGACAATAAGTTGGGGGGGGGGGACAAGGACTGGGGAAATAGCTCAGCATTTAAGAACACTGGCTGCTTTTCCAAAGGACCCAGATTCAATTCCCAGCACCCACATGGTGGCTTTCCCAGGCCTCCTTCATGGGCACCAGGCACATGCAGGAAAAACATCCATATTCATAAAGTAAAGAATAAATTTAATTTTTTAAGTAAGTAAACTAGGAGTTTGACAATCAGTGGAATATTTTTCTTTTTATCCATCTCAGGTTCTTAGGCTGAGTGAGTTACTTGAAGCAGGTTAAACAAAAATTTGAGAAGTCAGATATGATTAGTAAGATTTAAATTGTCACATTTACCTTTTCATTTGTGGTCATTGGGGATAGAATCTCACATCTTGCATTTATGTGTAGCTTTGCCTTAAAAACATCTCTCTTAACAGCTGCAGCAAAGACATAAAAGTAGTTGCCTTTCAGTTGTGAGCCTTTGGTAGACAGGAAGAAATGGGACCAGGCATAAAAGATTAATGCATATTCTTAGAGAAAAAAAATATTACAGGGTACCTTGCTGTTTGATTACAAGCCTTAGAATTAGTCAACATTTCCATAATTCTAAACCAATATACACCTGTTTTCCCACTGTGGCGTGAAGTCATGGCTTAATTTAGCAGAAACCCTGCTGTGCTAATCTCTCATTAAATACCCAGTAAGTTTAGTTATTTAAAGTTGAGCATGACTATTTTAACTGGTTGCCTTCATGTTGTAAAGTTAATAAGAAATTAATGATGTACTTTGCCATATGCCTTCAGTTTCTTTGTGCATAAAAATAAAAGGGACAAAGAAAAGCATATCATCTGCTGACACTTTAAATCTTTTCTGGTTGTAATCATTTTCCTGTGGATAAAGTCTGTTACTTGCTGCCTCTTTTCTAACATGTCCAAAAACTTTCAATTTATAACAAGATCAAATAGTATAAATTTTTCTTTCTTGTACAGTCCGTGTTTTGTATCCTAAGGAAATTTTATAATACAGTGGAACTTGACTGATGTCGGGGGTTTTCTTTTGCTCTGAAGCACCAGTTTCCCATCTCAAAAGAAGCAAAGAACTTGGTTAGTGCAGGAGGGATAAAAACCAACAATAGGGCTATCTGTCAGTCAGTTTGATGTGTCTGCTCTTTGACTGAACTTTGAAGCACCCTCTTTTTCATTAAGTAGGATGTGACTGAAGTGAAGAGTTGGAGACCTGGTAACCCAAGATGTATATCTTAAGACTGTTCTGAGAAATGTGTAACTAAGAAAACCCCTAGATTTTATATCTCCATGTTCAACACAAACCTCTAGAAATAGAGTAGTAGAAACAAAGGAAGCTAATCCAGAAATTCCACCCTGAGAGAAAAAAATGAAAGTATAAATTGTTTGTTTTTCATTCGATCAGCCTCTCTTCTAGAAGGGGTTGCTTAATGCTTAAGCAGCAGATTAATTTACAATGTTCATTTATTACTAATACTTCATGAGGTTAATAAATCACAAGTAGTTACTGAGCAACTTCTGTGTCCCAGGTACTATATGGCTATATACTGACAAGACTACTTCTACTTGGTCTAGCTGAGGGACAGTAGACAATTAATACATACTTGATCTGTATTTTAGTGTTGTTCTACTTCTGACATAATATGGAAATTTTACACACACACACACACACATGCATACACACACACATGCATATACACACACACATACACACACTTACTTGAGGCCCTCAGTAAGTAATACTCTTATAGTCTGGTGGAGAATATTGTAGCCCTGTGTGCATAGGCTAGGATACATAATAAGCCATTATATTTCCTGCAGCAGTATTTTATTTACTTTTCTATTCCTATGCCATTTATGTTCTTGGGAAAACTTGGGCTGCCTCCTATCTTAAGGTGTGATGTGCTAGGTCTAAAGAATGTCTCGTTTCATGGTAACGATACAGTATATCCCAGTTGCAGAGTTCTAACCTCATTATGTGCAGAGCTTCAGATTCAATTCCCAATACCATACACACAGAGAATATATCTATCATAATTTTTACAATCATAATGTCCCAAAAAGAGCAGATAAAGGTATCAGCTCAGGACCCCCAAGACCAAGTTCTCAGCACAAAAGAGATTTATTTGCCCCAGAAGGACAAGGGGAAGGGAATAAATGATAAAGACAAGAAATAGAGGATGAGGGAAAAAGGGAAAGGAACAAGGAAAAGGAAAAAGATATTTCTCCAGGAGGCGGTTGACAAAGAACTGCCTCTGAATAGAGAGTAGACAGATGTGGCCTACAGGCAAATTGTGGTTTATAAAGGTAAACCCTGTTAGAATAAGTTGTTTAATTTTAATTGTGCATGTTAATTAGGCGAACTAAAGGGAGCTTTTATTTCTGGACACTAATTCTTTGATAACTGGACCTTGGTAGTCAATCTTGGCGGAAGCAGCCAAATAAGAGAATAAATAGACCTTGATGGCTAACTTTAGGAATGTAATCTAACAGTTTTTATTAAGACAGAGAAAATGGTGGAAAAGGCTAGAGTCCCTTCAGAGGGTTATATAAGAGGCTTTGGGGAGGAAGGGGAAAGGGGAAACATTATGATTAAATTACAATCTCAAAAATAAAAACCAACAACAAAAAAGATAGTATCCTTTTTTTCTTTGTTGAGGCAAAAAAATCGCACAGCCCAAGCTGGTCTCAAATTTGCCTTAGCTTCCCAGTGCTTGAATTACATGTTTGGGCAACCACTCTCAGCAATGGTCTCCTTTCAAGCAGCCACAACAAGCAGGGCAGTATCATTCAGAGGGAATGCCAGGGTCTACCACTGTGCATCCCAGAAAGGACGTTCTTATGATGGCAACCTGGATTTTGTACTTTTGTTTTCACTAATATGGTTTATTTAGTTCAATTAAAAACTAAAAGTGAAGAAATCTGAGGCATAGAGAAACTTCTAGCACCCATGTTAGA